AGGACAGGACACGCACAATTATATCGCTTTAGGTGTTTCTTCAACGCTCAGTTGGCAAACCGAGCCAGGCCAACATTTGACTTGCCTTTGCATGCTTTTGTGATGAGTGCCCCGTTGGGGCAGCATGTGCTCACCTTTTCTCCAACACCGGGTGTCATCACTTTCCAAATGATTCATAATGAATAATAATACCCGTTCAAAATCCTTAAGGAATCGCTCAACAGATTCGTATAGTTCCGGCTATATAATGAACATTATAAGTTGTTCACTGGTCTCGAGGGGGAAACAGAGCTGATGTACGCTGGATGTGTATGTTCCCTGAGCCCAAAGGGCGAGGGGAACAAAAAGAAACATCGAGGGTACATCAATCCACGGACCCCGAGGGACTAGTGAACTACGTCTTTATGTTACCGAACACCTCAATGGTAATAATGAACTCTTTGAAGCACGGGTATCGGATCATGATATGGAGTACCAGACGACAAGAAAAACAAATTTAGAGTTATCTCCCTTCCATCTATTTGCATTCGCAAAACATCGGTAATTTCCGTACACCATACGTGATTCAGTGTTCTTCGAGTTAAAGAATTACTACTACGAAGTACCAAATGAGTTCGGCAGGTACATAGAAAATGTTACTCGCTTGTAAGCGGGGTACATTGAAAATAATAGAAGAGGGCTCAGACAATCAGAAAACGACATTCATGTGTGAGGCAAGATAAGTCTATATACCATCAAATAGTAATGACACCAGGTGTTAGTGAAAAGGTGAGCGTATCCTGACCCTACACTGGCACTTATCAGAAACAAATGTGAAGTCAATTTTCCCATTTACACATATTTACATGTTATTTAAATCGTACAGTGTATAGTGGAGGTCTCATGTGAGTGTTGAAAGGGTTTTATCACTCGTATTTATTAGATAGAATTTCCTTAGCAGATTCTTATGAAATAACTTTGTGGCGATTATATTTGTATCTTCATGTGAGATCAGGTTAAATTCCAAAGTCGGGCAAGCGGTAACATGTTTATGGCTGCAGCTCGCCGACAGATCTTGGGGGATTCTAGTCTTTGATAGGCTTTTAGAAGCTTGAAGAATATGAAAACATGACACTTTTATCGATAACAACATTTTTACTGCGTTTAACTCTGTTTCATGGCTCACATTTCGCCTCTTGAAAACTACGTATGCATAAATATGTTAATGTACATGCCTGTGTGTTTACACGAGGTGCAGTTAATGTATCCAGGCGATAGTATAACGAGCTTGTTAATGGTATAAACGAGAGTAAAGCCATATAAACTCTATGTCCACTTGGACACACCTCATAGGCATAATGGTTTGTATATTCCTCAGGGAGTTGAGGATGAAATTGGAGAAAGCGCTGATCCACTAATGCAGCGATTCCGTCTGTAACCGTGTTCATCATTATTATACAGACCATTCACAAAACGCAAATGGATGCGGTGGTGTCATGGATGGTTTCACTGGTGCTTCAAATGTTCCTTGTAATGGGTAGAATATGTGTACGCTCAAGTTAAGTGATGAAGGATGCGTTTAGTGTCAGACAAGGATCAAATTGAGGAGGATATCATCATTAGTACATGTAAACAACCTCAATGAGATGATGGTATAAGTGGCACTTGCAGCAGCCATAACACACTTGGTATAGTCCTAGAAGTTTAACCTCAAAACCTAAGGCAGGCCAGGACTTCGAACTCAGACACTAGGCCTATTGGGTATACTTTTTATGGTCTCTCTGCACGTAACGAGAGTCTACCTGGAGAATTGCACGACTAAAGAAGGAACGGTCTGCAGGGAATATTTGTGTTTCAAAAAATTCAATAATATCGGAACAGTATACTTATATTAGTCGTCCTGACGTCTGATGTGAATATATCACATTATTTACAGGTACAGTTAAACACTTATTTACACATAATGACCCGACAAATACCAATAAAAGCATGCTATTTCCTGGTACAGTCAAATACTTAACAGTATAAACACGTACAGTCAAACACCTATTTATACCTACAGTCAAACACCTATTTACACCCACAGTCAAACACATGTTTACACCTACAGTCAAACACATACACCTACAGTCAAACACCTATTTACACCTACAGTCAAACACCTACTTACAGCTACAGTCAAACACATGTTTACACCTACAGTCAAACAGATATTTACACCTACAGTCAAACACATGTTTACACCTACAGTCAAACACCTATTTACACCCACTTTCAAACACATGTTTACACCTACAGTCAAACACATATTTACACCTACAGTCAAACACCTATTTTACACCTACAGTCAAACACCTACAGTCAAACAGATATTTACACCTACAGTCAAACACATGTTTACACCTACAGTCAAACACCTATTTACACCTACAGTCAAACACATGTTTACACCTACAGTCAAACACCTATTTACACCCACAGTCAAACACATGTTTACACCTACAGTCAAACACACCTACAGTTTTTGCACCTACAGTCAAACACATGGTTACACCCACTTTCAAACACATGCTTACACCTGCAGTCAGACACATATTTACACCTGCAGTCAGACACATATTTACACCTACAGTCAAACACATGTTTACACCTACAGTCAAACATCGCTGTGTTGACGCGGACTACGTAAATGATACATTCTTTCTATGACAATTAATTAAGTAAATCACGTTCATCTAATCGCTGCTGGTGTCCTTCTTCTTCTATCTCCCACGAACGAACAAAATTCAAATATATCAAAACTGTTTGTTTCTCAACCGATTGCAAACCTATCCCACACAACAAACCTTCGATCCTTCATCCAGAACTCACCAATGAGTTCGATTGCCCCGAAAACTACTATATGAACTTAAAGTTTACTAAGAAAACGCGGTGGTGGAGTAGCCTTATGGTTAAAGCCGATGACCTGGGTTTGATTCCCCACGTGGGTACAATGTGTGAAGCCCATTTCTGGTGTCCCCAGCCGTGATATTGCTGGAATATTGCTAAAAGCGGCGTAAAACTATACTCACTCACTGATCACTCACTCAGTATTGAGGAAACAATGTGTGAAATGCTTGACGTCCTGACTTTTTATCATCCAGTAAGATTGTGGAATAGGACCTAAAAGGGAAGGAATTGGAATCCACACAAACAATATTGTGCTCTCCACCCAGCTGGTCTTCATGTGAATACAAAACATTTCTGCCAGGACGATATCAAAGCACCGGAAGAAGCATACTTAAGCTTCAAATCAATAGACTTTTAACCAACCTCATCTTTTCCACACATGAAGATTCAGAATGACAAACACTATCTGCAAGGTCGTACGACAAGAAGGATAACGTCAAGATACCAGCCGTCAAATTTCCTTGATGTTCTGGAACTATTCTAGTCGCTCCAGCCTTGATATCTACTTTACACAACTTTTCAGGCAAAATACAATAATTTCTTTCTCAACACCTTTTTGTCAAACAGTGTTTGATCAGGACACGCATTCAATCAGTATTCAAGGCCATTGCGTGGGTTCCAAAAGGTTTCAAGGTCGACATGTGGAGGCAACTTACATAGTGATGCATCTGTGACCAAAATGGTATTGATTCATGAACACATACTCATGCAAAATGTACAGATATTGATACATATTTGAGTTAACACGGACTAGTCGGCTCGGAATATTAAATATTTCTGAGTGGTGAGTTATTAATGAAATGCGGCTTGGTACTCTTGATTCATCAACACATATCTTGGAAAATGTCGGAATTGTACATGATTGCGGAAAGAGTTTTGTGGAATGAGATTTTTCTGTGTTATTTCTGTGCAGAAAAGGTTGACAGTATCCGGTGACACACAGAACATACGTACATACAAACATTTGTATAGCGCTGATATCCAGTACAACTGCTCAAAGACGCTTTGTTTTCGCTCGATCATTGGATGTCCATTACAGCGGCACCGTATTTTCAATCTCAACTCCCTGGGGAGTATACAACTCTTGCAGCCAACTAGGCGCACCGAGTTAATGTGGCTTTCCCATCCTTACGAGGTACCCATTCACAGCTGGGTGGACTCGGACACATAGTCACAGCACTTTGTCCAAGTTTACTGCACGTTGCTGTACCTGCAACTAGGTGTTTGCACCTATTCATATGGCCACCATCTGGTCATATACCAACGGATTCGTTGGTTCTTTTAAGTGCACAGGGTTGTGTACTAGAGTCTGCACACAAAGTTGACTCGAATGTTTTTTACAGCCGGTCACAGGTGGGCTCGATCCCGGCACCTCCAAGCTCGCTGGATTACTAGCCTGGCGCCTTAGACAGCTCGCCCACCGCGCTTAGCAATGTGTGATATTATAAGTTGTAGCATTGTGGTGAGCGGTATACGGGGTCTCCGTCTCGGTGGATAAAACCTAACGAGGGACGCATAAAATCCCGTATACCTCGAATCATAATGCTACAACGAATTTATCTTACAGAATGTTTAAATCTCTATAACATTAAAATCAACTGAAATTCAATAAGACCTTTTACTAACATCGTACCGACAAATCGATCCGAACCATTGGGTCACGGTTCACTGACTGACGTGGGTGCATGCTTTTTCCATGGGGCGGGTATATAGTTATATCATTTGCTTTGTAATAAGGTATCATAAGCAACAAAAACTTCTAACTCCAAAATATATTTACGAAATGTATAACATTTGTTGTAACACCGTGCGTGCGTATTAGTGCGTGGGTGGCCACCAAGAGTACCATGCCACAGTTCATCAATAACACACCACTCAGAAATATTTTAATATTCCGACTAGTCCGTGTTTTACCCCCTTAAAACCCAAGCGCCACGCACGTTAACAAGTGCCATATTTCAACGTCATTCGGTATGACGCTGTGGGGGAGCGTACCACCGGTCTTCCGCTCTCCAGGGCTGAATTAAAACAAGTATCCCATTATTCTTATACGCATTTACTTTTTTTTGCAGCGGTGTCAGTCGGTGTGAGCTGCTTCACGCTAGTAGCGATCTCCCTGGAACGTTTCTACGCAATTTGTCAGCCATTACGTTCCCGACGTTGGCAAACGCTCTCCCATTCCTACAAGGTCATATGCGGGATCTGGATAGTTGCGTTTACTCTGATGGTCCCAATTGCCTGCTACAACAAAGTTACCCCCCTTGTCAGCGGAAGTCTTGCATGTCGGGAGATATGGGATAACGCCCTGGCGGAGAAGTTGTACACAGGGCTGCTGGACGTTGTGTTGTTGCTGATGCCGCTCATCATAATGGCGACTTCCTATGGTAGAGTGGCCCATGAGCTAAGGAAGGATTTGAACGCCCAGGGTCCACCAACGCCCGTTTCGGGTAAACCAGGTCAGTGATTGTTTCTTTTGTTTATTTACAGTGAGTGAGTGAGTTGGACTTGCCGCCAGTTGAACCCTTTCGTTTGCGTGACCGGGATTCAATGTCGGAGGGACGCATGTCGTAGATGCTTACAACTCTGCAGTATTGCATAGAGCTACTAACTAAGGATCACAATACGTATGAATCTAGTATAATATCCTACATTCATCGGATCCGGTTTTGGTTGAAAGAGTAACTTCTACTGCGATCGTGACCTTATTTTACCAGGTCATATTTTTGAATTAGCAGAGATATCGCATATGACATGTAAACCACCACCATCTAATAACGTGGGTCGTCAGTCTGTTATTACAGGCTGCAGTGAATATTGCTGACATGATCCGACTTATTGCGATTTGATCCAAATACATACAAAAGAACACATTTGCAAGAAATGTAATTAAAAGTACTTATACTTTTCGAAAACAAATAAGAATCACCCTGTTACTTTTCATCCTAATTAATCTGCCATGCCACAAGATGAAAGAATCCTTTGGTCCGTATCTTTTGTAATTGCATGTACGCATGTACCTGATCCAAATGTGCATAGTTAATGTGCAAATTTGAGATAATAGTTTGTTTGTGTGATGTATAAGGCCGCAAACATTTCCAGCTACTTAACGGCGATCTGTAAGTAATCTATTCAAGTGTTTGACAGATAAATAATCCAGTGATTAACATCATGAGCACCGATTTTCGCGTTTGGGATATGCATCTAACGCCGCAGTATTACAGGTATATGACGGCAGTCTGTAAATTATCAAGTCTGGTTAAGATAATCCAGTGACTCACAACATGAGCATGGATCTACGCAATTGGGATACGATGGCATACATGAAACAGGGAGCATCTCCACCCGATCCCGTTTGTCGCATCTTACGACAAGCATGGGTTGCTGATGACAGTTTATAACCCGGATCTTTACGGGCGAGAGCTAACAGTAGGTGGTAGTCATGGTTGATAGCAATTTAAAGCTGCATCGTAAATACCCCAGCCACATAGTCATACCATGTTAGATAAGGGCATTGGGGTGCGTGATTCTATGTTAAAGTACACTTGTCATAAATCAGGTGAAGTTATCGTCTTTTTCATTGTATGTATCTAACTGTAATTGTGATACGGTTTAGAAATTGCTGTGATAAAAGCCTTGTCAGTCCCCTTTGAACAAGCAAAGTAACACAGAAACGAGTCTATAATATTCAGTTATATATTGAATAAATAAATAAACAAGGTTACAATGAATGACAATACAGATTTCGAAATACAATACTTTTGGGTCACAAATCTAAAATATTAAATAAATGTTTATAGTCACCAGAGTTTTGATTCTTGTAGATATACTGATTGAAGTTTGTTGTCATCTGTTGAAAGTTCAATGTAGACGAGACCTCTTGAGACATCGGTCTTGAAACGTCGATGTTGACAGCAGATAAGCGTAAATCCAAAGTAGTCCCCTCCATACATCTCAACAACCATCCCTTATATACCTATTATACAGTTCTGAATTTTTCTAGCACAAGCCATGCCACACCACAATCGCCTAGAAATTACTGGAATCTCACCGGCTTCCACCGGAAGCAAAACAAAGGGGAGATAACCCCTCCGTCCACTCTTAACAGGTGGAAATACATATCCTAAGTTCAAGGTGTCAGTTCAAATCCTCACTCAGCGCTTTAAACTTCTGTGACCCATCAACAACTAAACGTTAATTAATGTGACATTAAAATTGAACAAACACATCCTCATAACAACTGACCTTGCCATTTCAGAGGTAGAGTCACTGGAACCGGTTCGATATGTAGTAAAGGACCCTCATTCCACAACTTCCAGCGGACCATCACCCATCGTCCTTCGTCGTACCGAACCACGAGGCCCAGGGGAGATAACTCACCCGCTTCTACTCCAGACCAACTTCCGGCAAGCGAACTACCACAAGATCCTGATGAACAAGAAAAGAGTAATGAAGATGTTGTGCGTTGTGGTATTGGAGTACTTCATCTGCTGGACACCATTGTTCCTTGTTAACACCTGGACAGTTATGGATTATCTCAGCGCAAGACGCAGCGTGAGCCTAACTGTCAAGTCCACCATATTCCTGTTGGCCTATCTGTCGTCGTGTATTCATCCGATCACATACTGTTTCATGAACAAGCGTTTCCGCCAGGGATTCGTAGCAGTGTTTAGTTGTTGTGGATCTAAAGACGTTGTGCGACTACTGAGTGAAACGTCCAACGGTAAGCACAATTCCAAGCGTCTGGCGCATGTCACCGACACAACAAGCTTAAAGTTCTCTTGGCGAAGACAGGTGTAGAATGGTTTCGATTGGTTTGGAGCAAAGAAATACGTGTAATATGTGAATTTGTTGTAATAAATGTTTGTATCGCCATACTTAGGATAAATGTGGAATATGTGTTGTTGTTGCTTCTGAATGTTCGTGTATTCACATGTGTAAGCAATGTCTGTTTGATGTGGAGCAATAGTTGTTGCAAATCCGAAAAGTCCTATTGGGAATCTGCGGATCATACACAGTTTCAGGTCACCGGTTTCAGGACGCAGTTAGTTTTTCAGACCAACAACACCCAACAAACCTAAGAAGACATTCTTTTTTCGCTTTGACACATCATCAAACCAGCCTGTACATGATGTTATATATAGTATTCCCATAAATTATTGAGACAGTTGTTTCGGCAAATATCTAATGCAAGTATATAAACTATAGATGTTTTACTAATCTCAATATGTTGAGATATGATTCCCTTTACACTCTAAGTGTCTTTTCAGTACTTTGTGAGACCTCCTTGCCCTGCAATACACGATTGAATGCGCCTAGGTACTCTACCGATCAAACTTTTTAGGAAATCGTGTGACAGCATATCCCAATATTCGGCCACTTCTTTCTTTATATCCTCAATATTTCTGAGTCCTTTTTTGGTTTATTCTGTCCTTCATTAGTCCCCAAACATTCTCAGTAGGGTTAAGATCTGGACAGTAGCTGGGCCAGTCTAAAACTCGAACATTTTCGTCCGACAACCAGCAAGACTACAGAACACACGAGATTGAATATTAAGAACTGCAAAATATTAAAGAACGAGGCACAACACCCATGCCCTCATAGTCGTATACTCTTATTATGTCTATTCCCAAACAATCATAAAATGCCAAGATGTTCATGTTGATCACTAGGTTGTCTGCTCCAGACTCGATTATTTACAGACCGCCGCCATATAGCTGGAATATTGCTGAATGCGGCGTTAAACAACAAACAAACAATTACACACAAAAACAAGAATTGTTGCGTTTTAACATTCAGTACATGAACATTATAATAGGTTATATTAATACAGAGTTCTATATCCTGTTGTTATCATTAGTAAACATACTGTTTCAGGTTTGAAAATTATTTTAGACTGTCTACCTCAAACCACTAGGAAATGTTCAACAGAACGACCAATTTTGAAAGAACCAACGGTGACGTACTTTTTTTACTTTGATGTACCGCCTGTTTGGTGTGCTGAGTGGCAATTTCCAAACTGAAACAATAATATCTCTCCGTGAATAAAACCGAAAAAAAGTTCACAAACCAATACAACAGAAGGTTAAGGCGAACTCAACAACAAAACAGCAAACTTGGTTTCCAATTATTTCCAGTGGTCGGATTTAAATACATGCTCTCATCATCCCATGTACAGTGGAATATGATTCTACGAATAATCGAAAGAAATTATTGTCAAAATGGAGATTTTACATTCATAATTACATGTTACTTATAGATTTGAGACAATTTGAGAAATATGACCGCAATTAGAATAGTTCACAAACATCTTTTCGCGAATATGTATCCTTCCTGGAGGCTGGCTTTATTTGTTCGCGTAATGACAGAAAAACATGCACATGTCACTTAACGCTGCACTTCATTAAACGTGAAGCTAGTGTTACGCTTATTGCCTCCTGCGCAGCTGCTTGCAACGTGACTTACGGAATTGTCACAACGCTCACGAGATCAGACTGAATGAACCTGAATCATATTCCAGTTGAAAAACGAATATGGAATAATGGAAAGAAAACAAATGATGACTTTATGTTGAAAAATATCTTAAAGCTTTGTTGACATGACTATATAAAGAATTAAGTGCAGATCCATCAGTATGTTTCACGTGTTAAGGAGAATAAATGTGGGTTCGTGAAAGACTGCTTACTTTATAAACATCCATTCTTTTTCAAACTTAAAACTTTTAGGCTCTGGCAAATTTTAAAAGTTTTTGAACAATGAACCAGACTAGAAAAGTAGGGGATGGTGTGAATCGTCAAGACATCTTTTTCGATCCCTCTGGTGTTGGTAAATAGATTGGTTGGTTTGTTGTTTAACGCTGCACTCAGCAATATTCCAGCTGTATGGCTGCGGTCTTCAAATAATCTAGTTTGGATCAGACAAGGCTGTTAACAGTTTTTTAATGGCGTCGTTTTGTCTAGAGTTGTCGCCCGTGGGCGTCAACGACGTGATGTGTTTGTTAGTATTGCTGATGACAAACTGAGAACCATGAAGAGTTTGGGCAACAACAATCTGATGCCTTTGGCACGTAAACGCTCGGTATGTTCCAAACATCGCAAAATAAATAAATAAATAAATGTACTTTCTTAACAATGAGATGTGTATCGAGTATAGAATTTGGGTCCAAAAACAAGATGATATGCGTGAACTCACCCATTCATTACATTCGCCTAGGTCCACATGATGAAGAGGATGAGAGATATTCATATGTTTATTTGCCAAGACAAATGTTTTCTTCTTTAAGCCTTAAAACCTTAACATTATTTAACATTTGGCTAAGAAAACATGTTGACAGATAACACAATTAATATCAGGAGCGACTTGTTTGTGCACACCAGTCACTGCTTAGAAGGCCGGGACACTGAAGATAGAGGAGGCTATTTGATAGTTTTACATCTGTCAGTAAGACGTATGGCGATACTTCCAATAGCTTGAGGAGACTGGCAGGTGAACGCTGCAGCTGTGTGAGACCCATTTTACCACGTGCCAGTGTGTTGAATCGACATAAACCATGTTAGAAAATGAGTTAACAGTGGGGCACATCTTGAGCTTTACATAAATAAATAGGTGTTTAATATCACTTTGGCTGCGTGTGCCTTTCAACAAGATCTATGCTTTAAAAGGTTCACCGGCCATAAGAAAATGTGTTTACCAGTTATCGGTTAAGGGAAACATATGAGTGATTGTTGATTCGTGGCTGGGGGTTCCGCTGAGGAGAGACGATTCGGGTTCCCTGCAGACATTTTTAAGGTATCTTAAACACGTAAGTACGTTCTCAACCTTTTATCTCAAACTTAGAACTTTGACAACAGGATACGTTTAGAAAAGTTGTGTGACACGTGAAGCATGGTTGCTGTGTTAGGTGTCTGTTCTTGATGCACGTGGAACATTTTGTCTGTTGCGAATGCTCGCGCAAAAGCTCCGCTCTGTTGATCTTCACAATGCATGTCAGAAGGCTCTTTCAATTTCGCGTGAGGCGTAAGCGAGCGTTTCATTAGTTGCTGGTGTGTTTTGAGAACTCGTTGATGGGAATTATGGTAATATGGAGCCAGTTATAAAGATTTATATGTTTTTCTCTTTTGTGTTTGCTTAAAGGGTTGTCAAATTTAGCATCATTGTTTTCTGTAAGGTCACGTGATGTAACAAAATGTCAACACTAGTTTGTATGCCTTTAAGGATTATACAAATATTTGAACATGTTCATCATGCTAATATGTGTTGGTACCCTATGTCTACTATTGAAGGGGTTCAAATTACACATGCTTGTTCGAGCCCACTGAAATACTTGTTTGTTTGTGGTTTAACGCCGCAATCAGCAATATTCCGTACATAGTCGAGTCTGGACCAGACAATCCAGTTATCAACAGCATGAGCATTGATCTAACTTGATACGATGATAAGTGTCAACCAATTTAGCTAGCCTGACCACCCGATCCGTTAGTCGCCTCATACGACAAGCATGGGTTGCTAAAGATCAGGCCCCGATTTCTCGAAACAAACTTAAGTCTGAGTTTTGACTTAAGTTAGAGTTTTTACTCAAATTTGAGAAAACGCATTTCCAAGAATGAACTGAAGTCGATATTAAATTCATGCATAGTTGATAATTTGAGTTTGGTGAATTGAATACTGAAGTTGTTTGGGCTTTTTTTACTTCAAAAATGCAGCTGAGTTAAACTTCAGCCGTTTCAAATAGTCAAACTCAGTTTGAAATTTGAGTAAAAACTTAAGTTTGTTTCGAGAAATCGGGGCCAGATCTTCACTGTAGCTGAAATAACTGAAATCACATTAATAACCCATTCTTCACTAAGTGGGACTATTTTAGATTTTGTCTTTCCAATAACGATATTGTAAATATCCAAAGATTAAAAGTTGCAATTGCACTGTTATACTACACTTAGGAATGGTTTGAGCTGAAACAACATTACTTTAATCACAAATAAACACAAAAGCTAAGTTATCTGACTTTTAAATGCCAAGATTTGGCATATTCTGGTTTCCACGTCCTAAGTCACATATAAAGCGCTGCTCTATTCTCTTAACTACGCCAGGTAGTGTGCAAAATACATTCTTCCTTTGTAGCATATATAAGCCTGTCAACACATAACAAAGTCAATTGAATTCAAAACAATATTTGTTGTTAATATGGATGAAATAAATTTCCAACAAATTAACATCAAATTAACGTTAAGCATTTTTGAAAGTATTAGAATGTACCCCCTAACAATATAAGAGTTCAAGCTGATCGGGCTAATCATGAAAGTCAAGCAACTGAAATCTGTTTCCAATTTGATGCTTTAACTTTTCGTGGCAATTGCAAACGCCAGCGATTAAAGGCATGTGACGATCAATTTTCATCAGATACGTTAACTAAACCTAGTTAATTACACACCAACCATTGCAATAATTGTAGGGTTTAGGGTCTCATGGAGGACAGTATGAAATATTTATCAAGAAAATTCATACTTGCCTCAATCATCCCCAGAAAATATATCATGACCTGGTGTTTTCGTTAGTGGTCATCAGATATGTTTTCATGAGGTACGTTAACCACAAACAAGGGTGACTTTATTTTCATTCGGATGACATCGGCATATACATGATAATCTTTTAATTTCCACTCAGAATTATTCGTGTATTTACGTGTATCTCCGATTTGAGCATGTGGTTGGAACTTGGCGCCACTGTGTGTTTAGACTAGGGAGGGATATTGCCTATTCTCCAGTGAGTATTCTAGGAAATATAAACTGTTCTTATAGGACCAGCTACATAATTATGTTTGTATACATTTATAATCGTATTTTCACTGAATGTGCCTTGGAAAGCCTTAGACTGAACCCTCTCTGTGACAAACGCT